TGAAATTAATATTAGCACGGTCATGTATTCTGGTTAATCGGTGTCGGCAAAAATGGTACAATTCCAGATTATGATTCTGTAAATACTAAAAATCCGATAGAACGTGATACTGCAACTGTTCCTGCTGGAGGGTACGTTAATTATTAGTTTCTTGTTTTGAATCTGGCAGAATTTACTTAATAAACCTTTTTATTTTACTCTATCAGATGGCTCATCGCTAGATTTGTGTCAAATAACCCTGGTGTATGGGGATTTCACTGTCATATTGAGGTATTTAATAATCTTCTTAATCACTTCAAAATTTTCATAATCACTTCAAATTGCATTATTTACAAATTTTTTGATACCATATTATGTTTTTAGTGGCATGTACAAGCAGGTTTGGTTATGGCATTCATCGCACAACCGGATAAAATTAAAAAATTAAAAGCACCTGATGATTGGAAAGAATTATGTAAATAGTAAATGGCAAATAGTAAGCTCGGTTAATTGCTTTAATGTGTAATAAAATTTAAAAAATTATATTAATGCATGTACTTAATGTATAGTAAAATGATTTTTAAGGTTACTTTGCTAATTATCGTACTTTAGTTTTTAAGCTAATTAACTATCTTTAATTTTTAATCAACTCAATTAAGCTACTTTGTTAATAATTGTATTTTTAGTTTTTAACCAACTCTATTGCGTCTTTATTTTTAATCAACTAAATCTATTTATATTAACAATATCTTGGACTTTTCATTTTATAATTTTCTTATGCTTGCATATTGACTTTGTTTCATATTATTAATCATTTGTTCAGTGTACATCTTATAAATATTATATTAGGTGTCAATTAAATTACATATTTTTATAGCTCTGAATATTGCAACTATAATATAGCAAAACTATTTTACTATTATTATACAATAATGAATATTAGGTGAGTTCTCTGTAGTGGTGATGCCGTAAAATGCTGTAATAACTACCCGGGTTGCTATTATGAACTATTGTAACATATTCCCGTTATATTTTGAAAATAATAAAAAATCGGGATTTTACTTAAAAATACCCCAATCACGCAAAAGTATCGTTTTTGATAGATCTGCGGTTGCTTTTTTGATAGGTCTATGCGTTTACTAATTGCATTATTGTGTAACCTATGCCTCAGCAGTCTATTTTTTTAGAAAAAAAAATTAAAATTAAATTAGTAACCAACTAATCAAATTCGATGAAATTTTTTTTATTTGAATTCTATGAATCTATAGAATTTAAATAAAAAAATTTATCAAATTTTGTCTGGTGGTTGTGGAGATATCTTCTCTCAAAGTTAGATAAAAATCAAAACGCCTATTAAAATAGAAGCTGTACCAATTTTTTGAAACGTTTTGAGCGAAGCTATCTCCAAAACCACCAGACCAAATTTGATAATTTTTTTATTTGAATTCAATGAGACCATAGAATTTAAATAAAAAAAAATTCATCGAATTTGGTCTGGTGGTGGTGGAGATATCTTCACTTAAAGTTAAAAAAAAATCTAAACGTCTATCTAAATTAAAGCTGCTCCAATTCTTTTAAAAAAATTGAGCGAAGGTAATCTCCACAATCATTGGACCAAATTTGATAATTTTTTTTATTTGAATCCTATGAATCATAGAATTTAAATTAAAAAAATTTCATTAAATTTTGTCTGGTGGTAGTGGAGATAACTTCGCTCAAAAAATCAACCCGTTTATCGAAATTAAAGCTGTGCCAATTCTTTAAAAAATTTGAGCGAAGATATCTCCACAACTACTAGACCAAATTTGATAAATTAGTTTTATTTAATTCTATGAAGACGTATAATTTAAATAAAAAAAAATTCATCGAATTTGATCTGGTGGTAGTGGAGATATCTTCGTTCAAAGTTAAAAAAAATCAAACCGTTTATCAAAATTAAAGCTGTGCCATTAAAAAAAATTGAGCAAAGATAATCTCCACAACCACTGGGCCAAATTTGATAAATTTTTTTTTTATTTGAATTCTATAAATCCATAGAACTTAAATAAAAAAAATTCATCGAATTTTGTGTAGTGGTAATAGAGATATCTTCGCTCAAAGTTAAAAAAAAATCAAACCGTTTATCAAAATTGAAGCTGCGCCAATACTTTAAAAAAAATTTGAGCGAAGATATCTCACTACCACCAGACCAAATTCGATGAATTTTTTTTTATTTAAATTCTATAGATTCATAGAATCCAAATAAAAAAAAAAATTATCAAATTTGATCTGGTGGTTGTGGATATATCTTCGCTCAAATTTTTTAAAGAATTGGCACAGCTTTAATTTTATAAACGTTTTGATTTTTTTTAACTTTGAGCGAAGATATCTCCACTACCGCCAGACAAAATTAGATAAAATTTTTTTTTTAAATTCTATGGATTCATAGAATTTAAATTAAAAAAAAAATTATCAAATTTGGTCCAGTGGTTGTGGAGATTATCTTCGCTCAATTTTTTTTAAAGAATTGGCGCAGCTTTAATTTAAATAGATGTTTTGATTTTTCTTTAACTTTGAGTGAAGATATCTCCACCACCACCAGACCAAATTCGATGAATTTTTTTTTTATTTAAATTCTATGGATTCTTAGAATTTAAATAAAAAAAAATTATCAAATTTGGTCTGGTGGTTATGGAGACAGATTCGCTCAAAACGTTTTAAAAAATCGGTACAGCTTCTATTTTAATAGGCGTCTTGATTTTTATCTAACTTTGAGCTAAGATACCTCCACAACCGCCAGATAAATTTTTTTATTTAAATTCTATGGATTCATAGAATTAAAATAAAAAAAATTTCATCGAATAATTTTAAAATTTTTTATTTTTCTGTTCTAAAAAAA